AAGGGAACATAAAATAAGCAAGACCTAGTATAAAGATGTTACATAGTTGTTAAGAGGTGATAGACTTTTGGAGAATCATGAAGAGCAGACCTGAGAGAACTGGGGATTCTTGGGAGGTTGCTGCAGGATACTTGGCCCCAAGCACATGTCCATAGAACTGACACTGTCACACAGATAGTGGAGAATTGCCTGACACAGACAACCAGATCTGAAATTCTTTAGGAGAATGGCCCAGGTTGGGCAAGCACACATGTTGTCCTTCAGGATTGGAACTAACTCTCTATCCTTGGTCCTAATTCTCATGTATTTATCACAGTATTTAAAAAGCTGGGAAAGGAAGAGAAGCCCAGAGCCTCAGGCTGACAAAGCTCACCTCCTGGAGCTCTTGATCCAGTGGTCCAGCCCCCTCCTGTGGAACTCGTGGCCTCTGAGAGAAAAGAAAGGCAGGATTAGTCTGGATTGTGGGGTCGTGCAGGGTTATGTTATCTTTGGGATCTGTCACCTGAGGAGCCTTGTGTGGCAATCCCTGTGTGCTTTGAACTCACCTGTGTTGTCATTCCCAGGTTCTAGAGTCTTTCCAGAGATTGGCCCAGAGGTAGCTATTAAGAAAAGATGGGTAGTGATGGGTCAATACCTTGTCATCAAGAAGTGGGAAAAAGGTAACAATAAATGGAAAACATGTATATTCATTTTTATATCAGTAAACTGGGCTTTTATTACCAAAAGGTAATCTATATACCCATCAGCTAATACCCTTGCAATAGTAAATCAGGACCAGGGAGACAGAGCTGTCTGTCTAGACTTCTATATAACTGCCAAAGAGCTGCACACTGGCTTTGGGCATGAGAGGAAAGTCTGCTCAAAGTACAGGAAATAAAATGAAATTTGAGTTTCTGAACATTTGTCAATGAACAATAGCAAAATGTTCTCTAATAAGGGAGTAAACAATGGCATGGATACATTTCAAGGCACTACATTTATTGGGTAATTTTAGAGAGTGAATGCAATGACCAAGCAAATGCTCACCTGTAGCTCCTTTACCTCTTGTCGTTCCATGTCCTATGAGGGTGGTTGTAGCCTCTGAGAGAGAAAATTCAAAAGACATATTTGGAAGATATT